ACTGAGGTGCCCTTGAGCAAGGCACCGAACCCCCAACTGCTCCCCGGGCGCCCACAAAAATGGCTGCTCACTGCTCCGGGTGTGTGTTCACTGCTGTGTGTGTGCACTCTCAAGAAACTTTTCTGATTATTATTATCAATGTTTTCAGGATTTTCTGATGAATACAAAGTTAACAAAAACAGCATTTATTTTATTAATAGTTTTATAGATTAATATAGATTCATAGTTTTAATTAAGCTATTTAATTAAACTAATATAATAGATTAATAGTTTTTTACGGGACCGTCCACAGCATGTATTAGTAAATGGGAAAATGTCGAAGAATGTGGTTTTAAACACTGGCCTTCCTCAGGGGTGTGTTTTATCACCAATTCTATTTTCTATTTATATAAATGAAATGACCTGTGATACTGACAATCTGACGCTTATAAAATGTGCAGATGATATGGCACTGGTGGGAAGTGTAAAGGACATTCAGTCATTAGATACTTACCTCAGTTTTGTTAATTTTATTACATTTCTCTGCAGCTTAACATTAGTAAAACTAAAGAAATGTGTTGTGGGGCTAACAACATACGAGCACTCTGTGAACCTTTGTTAGTTAATGGAGAGAAAGTGGAACAGGTGGGATCTTTTAAATACTTAGGTACTGAGATTGACTCCCAATTTTCATTTGATAAGCATTCAGATAATGTTTTTAAAAAGGCTTATCAACGTCCAGGCTTATTGAGAAAACTGAGGAGTTTTAACATTGGATATTCTGGATATTATGATTGTTGTATATAAATAACTTATCGAATCTGTTCTTACTTTTAATATCGTGTCCTGGTTTAACTCTCTCTCTGTTAAAAGTAAAAATAGACTTTTAAGAATTATAAATGTGGCGAGTAAAATAATCGGTGAGAGACAAACACCTCTCACTGATCTTTTCACTGTGACACTAAAAAGGAAAGCCTCTGTTATTGTGTGAGACTCTTCTCATCCTTTGTATAGTTCTTTTCAACCATCTGGCAGACGGTATAAAGTGTCTTTGGTAAAAAGGGCTAAGTATAAGACGACGTTTATTCCAACTGCCATTGGTATTTTAAATAGGATCTTAAAATAGGATCTGCCGGTATGAGGTTCGAGTCTCGTGCAGGGACTACAATCCGGCAGGGATTGTAGGTGGGGGGAGTGAATGTACAGCGCTCTCTCCCACCTTCAATACCGCGACTGAGGTGCCCTTGAGCAAGGCACCGAACCCCCAACTGCTCCCCGGGCGCCCACAAAAATGGCTGCTCACTGCTCCGGGTGTGTGTTCACTGCTGTGTGTGTGCACTTTGGATGGGATAAATGCAGAGCACTAATTCCGAGTATGGGTCACCATACTTGGCCACATGTCACGTCACTAGAAAAAAAAATGATTTTTTTTTTTAATGTATTGTTTTAGTTGTGATTTTGTGATGTAATGTAGTTTGTTGTTGTGTGGACTATTTGTGCTGTTTGTGTGTTGAGCCTTTTGTCTGAAGACAATTTTCTACCCCACTGGGGATAGACAATAAAGCTTTTGAAATTAAAAATTTAAATATTTGAAAACATTTGTAACATTATAAATGTCTTTACTGTCATCTTTGATCAATTTAATTAATCCTTGCTGAATAACTTTTGAACTATAGTTCAAAATAGACCCTCTTCCATGTCATTGACCCTGTAGTCAAAAAAGTGGCTCCGCAAGAGTATTGAGAGACTGTCATAAGGTTTCCAGCAAACAAAAATTCCCCGTCAGCTATAATACACCGATGGAGAGAGCAGGAAGTGCTGCCCACATCTGTCATCAGCATTTGCGTGACTCCTCGGCCAGTTCTGCTAACATGAATCTCACATGGCAACATCCAGAGGCCAAGAACCCATTCACTCTCACACACACTCATATACACACACACACACTCATATACACACACACACTCTCATAAACACACACACACACACACACAAACACAGACACACACACACACACACACACACACTCACTCACTCACTCACTCACTCACTCACTCACTCACTCATACACACACAGACTGTATTGCGGCACAGTCCTTACAAACAACAGGAAAGAGAGCACAGATGGGTTGATAGTGAGAACCATGGTTTATTTTTCAAAATAATGTCTGCCGCTTTGTGAGTGTTTATGTGAGAATTTGTCATTGGGACAGGAAACCAAAATGATCTGTACATGAGTGTGTGTGTGAGAGAGATTCAGTCAGTATCATTGAAAACCCCACAGAGGGTTGATATCTTTTTCAAATGAGCTGTTATCTGCTCAGAGCCGGGCTGGAAGCTCCTAGAGCCTGTTCTGTTATGGTTGAGTGCCATCATCTGGATGATTTCGGGGGGCACTACTGGAATATTCCCAAGTCCCTGCTTTGTATTTGAATTCGAGGTCCAGAATTAACACTTGGCAAGTGGCTAATGTGAGAAAATGGGCTTTGGCAAGTGAATAAAACTACCTGCCAGTTGGCTGAATACTTTATTAGGAACATAACGCATTGTTTATATCAGCTTGCAAGAATGAAAATTGGACCCTCTCTGTTATTCAAATCAAAACCTAGTCTACTAATGAAAACATCCAGGCCATGTAATGTTCTTTTTCTCCAGAACTGTATGAGGTGACATGGAATATTAATATACCAAAAAATATGCAGAGTTATGAGGTTGAAAGATGACATGAGTATTTGTCACAAAACACGCACGCACACACACACACACACACACACACACACACACACACACACAAAAGTTGTGTTTCCATGTTTTTTGGGGACATTTCATAGGCGTAATGGTTTTTATACTGTACAAACTGTATTTTATATTGCCCTACACCAACCCACAGAACACTTTCTGCATTTTTAGATTTTCAAAAAACTTCATTCTGTATGATTTATAAGCTTGTTTCCTCATGGGGTCCTAAAAAATGGCCCCACAAGGACTAAATTTACTTCCCATAACATGATAAATACCAGACACACACACAAAACAACAGCAAAATAATTATATTGTATTAAGGACACAAATATAATGTATAATATTATTCAAATGTTTTGAGTCAAAAATATATATATATTATTTTATTTTTTTAAAAGAAGTCTCTTATGCTCACCAAGCCTGCATTTCTTTGTATAAAGAGATACCATGTATAAAATACCATGAAAACAGCAACTCCAAACTTTTAAATGGTGATGTATATAATGAAAAAGTAAAATAAAATTTGATGACCAGGAAAATATTATTATAAATATTTCAAAAATAATACAGCAGGATCAGCATGAATCATCTTCAGTAACCGTGCCTGGATTTGTGGAGGGCCAGTGTCCCAAGACCTCAGACTGTCACTTGGACACTTGGTGCATAGAGAATGAACTGACCACTAGGATCATGGCTTAGTCATCTTATGTTAGGCTGTCAAAATGTGGTTTGCTTTGCAGGACCATGATCTGGCTCTCCTCTCTTTTCCTCTCCTCTAGTCATTGCTTTCATCCCAGTGGAGGTTTGAGTTTCAGCCACTGGGGTCCACACTGCATTTCTACAGATGTGAACACACACACACACACACACACACACAGAATAAACACGTCATCCTTGCAGTCCAACATTGTACTTAACATCTGCTAATTACACAGGGGTTGAGTGAACTGAATGGGCCCAGTCCTGAGAGGGAGGGCGCTGGGCCGCTTCTGACCACAACAAGCCCCTCTCTCTGCAGCTCTCCACCAGCCAGAGAGAGAAAATACACTCACAGTGTAACGGAGAGCAGGAGATGACGAAAAAGAAGTGGAAATTTATTGTAAAGGGAATTCAAAAGATGGTGAACTTGATATCGCCAGATGTGACATTTTTTTATTGATTAACCCTTTGATAGGGGATATCTTGATTAGAAGTATTTGCTTTTAATTAATTGTTTTAAAAGTCTTTCATATTAACACATCTTTCATATATTCAATATTTGAATGTATTTTCAGCTTGTAAATATGCCAATCTTGATGGCTGTTGGGCTCTGATCTCTATCTAGAAACTAATATATAAACCTATGCAAACATTACAGTAATAAGGGAATTTGCTCACTGGTCATTGAAGTTTAATGATGCATTCATGCTGAAACACTCAGGAATAGCAACGAAAAATTAAATACCACAATTACACATGATCAAGCAAGATGCCCAAAGCTTTTTAAAAAGGTTGTCTGTTTGAATGACAGTTTTCTTTAAAATAGGGACGCACTGATATAAAATTTTGTCTGATATGGCAAGGCTATAATTATTTTTATGCATATTTTGTACTATTATTAAACTATTAGTGTTTTTAAAGATGAACTTCAGGTTTTTTTTTTGATGAAGGCAATGGGAATGTAACATTAAAAATAGGGAAAATGAGCACGAACAATTATTTAAAAAAAAATGGCTCAACCTGCTGAATAAATAAACAAACAGATAAAACCAGCCTAAGCTAGTTGGCTGGTCTTAGCTGGTCTTCCAGCCTGGATGAGCTGGTTTTAGCTGGTTGATCAGCTGACCAGCTAAAACCAGCCTAACCAGCTAAAGAAGTGGTCAAAACCCCACTTACACCTGCAAACCAGACTGGAAGACCAGATAAAACCAGCCTAACCAGCCTGTTTTTTTCTTCTTCAGCATTCTGAGTCTAATAACCCATATGATACCAATATATTGTGCATCCTTACTTTACAATGTTTGTAGTGACTAATACTTTCTGGCGGTGAAAAATCGTTAAGCCTTCGAGAACTTTAGTTGGTTAAATGGCTGAAATATTAATTTGTGTCTGTGTACATCAGAGAATCTTATTCATAACACTCCAACACAGAAATCTACATCAAGATATTGCTTTAATAAACAAGAACACAAACTCCACCCTATTGATAAATGATTTAGCTTGTGGTTACAGGAACATCCAGTTTAAGTTGCTGTGCGCCCCATAACCCTCTGGATAGTGGAAACATTGATGGTTGCCAGGAGGCCCGGTCGCGATGGCGATTGGGTGTGGTTGTTAAAGCAGCTGCACTGATGTGGAATTCAGCAATGCAGAAGGGAAACCACACTCACTGAAACACACCATTCACACAGACATGAACGTTCAGAGCCATACAGGATGTATTTTTAGAGCAGAACAATTTCACAGTTGACTTAAAAGGGGTCAGTGTTGAGACGGCTGCTGGTGAGGAGAATGTCTTCAGGTATCTGACACATACGCAACTCAACTCCACCCCTTCAGGCCCCATGTCAGATTTGTGTACATTTACATGTAGAAGTTACATTTTCACTTTTATGCGAGTTGACACTACTGTTCAAAAGTTTGTGGTTGGTAAGATTTTTTAAAATGTTTTTTTTTTTTTAAAGTCTCTTATGCTCACCAAGGCTACATTTATTTTGATCAAAAATACAGTAAAAACAGTAATATTGTGAAATATTGTTACAATTTAAAAGAACTGTTTTCTATTTGAATATATTTTAAAATGTAATTTATTCCTGTGATGCAAAGCTGAATTTTCAGCATCATTACTCAAGTCTTCAGTATCACATGATCCTTCAGAAATCATTCTGATATGATGTTTTGCTGCTCAAGAAACATTTCTTATTATCAAATGATGAACCGTTATGCTGCTGAATATTTTTGTGGAAACCATGATAATTTTGATGAATGAAAAGTTCAAAAGAAGAGCATTTATTTGAAAAAAAAAAAATAAAAGTGTCTTTACTGTCGCTTTTTGTAAATTTAATGCATCCTTGCTGAATAAGTGTACTCATTTATTTAATAAAAAGAAAAAAAGTCATACTTACCTCTAAACCTTTGAACAGTATAGTGCGTGTGTTCATGTCGGCACATCTGCTCTGTGTTCAGTATCTGCTCGAATCTCTCTGGTCTTCATGTAGAACAGGTGTGATGCCCCTCACGACCCCTTTTGACTTCCTGCCAGTCATACACATGCATTACAGTTCTATATACATATATATATATATATATATATAATACATACATACATATACACACACACATACACATACACACACACACACACACACACACACACATATACATACATATACATTATTATCCTTGATAAATACACTTAGTTAATTTGAATCTGAGAATTTCTTTCTGGCCTTTCTTCCACACTTTCCCAGTCAATAACTTTTACTATGAAGGAAACTAGTTTCAGACTTCCATCCAAGGAAACCATAATGCCACATAGTGACCTAGAGCAAATTCAAGTGTGTTTTAGACATAACCTAGTGAATATTTAATGACGTTGGTGAAACTGATCATTGTACAGCATTTTTCATGTTCGAACAAATTGCTATTGACTATTAGCTGGAAACTGAATTCAGTTGTTTTGTAATGTAAATATTACATCAAAAAATGCGTCAGTGTTTCGTTTTGTTTTTCAGTACAGTGGAAGTCAACAATAGTAACCAAAACTGTTCTTTAAAATATCTTCTATAATATTCTTTTCTATATTTTCATTAAAAAAAAATTCATACATGTTTGAACTGACATGAGGGTTAGTGAATGATAACAGTATTTTCATTTATGGCTGAACTATCCCTTTAATATACATGTGTGTGCAATATGTGCGTAGCCTGATGTTCCTTTCATGCAAGTCTAGTGCTTCTGAAGTTTTTTTTTTCTCTCTAAACATCTTTTAAGTTGTTTTTTTCCTTGCCATGTTCGCCTCTGGCCTGCCCACCAGGTGTTTTTAATGCAATGTAAAACTGCTTTGAAACAATATGTATTGTGAATGCAATACAAGTTGATCTGACTTAACTTCAGAAAGCATCCAGACAAAAAAATTGGAGGTATCTTCGTAGATAGGTTAGCAAATAGGTTAACTTTTGTTTTAAATGTGCCTCTGTTTAGGTTTCAGGCACAGCCTACTGCATATACTGTATGTAAACACTCTTGTGCTGTAGTGCTTCCATCTGTTGGTGGTTTCTTCTCACTACAACCCGTTGGTTTTGCTTCAGGTCTGCAGCCTATTTATTGGTCAACGCTTTGCTGAGGATTACAGCTAAAATTAACCAGTTTAAACTACCAGAGTATTTTTTTTTTCACACACACACACACACACACACACACACACACACACACACACACACACACCTCTGGTCAGCTATCAATCCAAGCAGCACAACTGTTTTCAACATTGATAATAATAAACATTTAACAAGTCAGCATATGAATGATTTCTGAAGGATCATGTGACACTAAGGACTGAAGTAATGGCTGGTGAAAACTCAGCTTTGCCATCACAGGAATAAGTTACATTTTCAAACATATTCAAATAGAAAACAGTTATTTAAAATTGTAATAGTAGTTTTTACTGTATTTTTGATCATATCAATGCAGCTTTGGAGAACATAGACTTCTTTAATACCAAAGTAGTTTTTTTTATTCATACACACACACACACACACACACACACACACACACACACACACACACACACACTCAGGAAAGTCAGATTAAAGTGGGTCTAGACTGTGTTTTGCTATCTAATGCTCTTGGGACCAAATAGTGTTGGCATGTCTCCTATTATCACCTGTCTCTGTATCGCCATACGCTCACCGAGGCCTCGTTTAAACAGCTGATACTCAATATCAGCACACGTTATACACATACAGATGTGGCTGTGTTTATTTTGTGCTGTTTGAACTGATCTTACCTTGGCGCTTGTCATTGCAGCTCTCATTCATTCATACTTTAGTGCCAGTGTGTATCAGTGTTGCCAACTAATTTTCAGAGGAAGTTGCTAAAGGATGGTTGATTTGTTGCTAAAAGTTGCTAAATGACGTTGTGATGTCATTGCGCAATGCCGACACAAAATTGTCACGTCATCAAATCTCAGCAAAAAATATATTTTATATGTTGATTTAGATTTGTTTGTAAAATAATATGCATGATATAATATAAAAATATAAATAACTGTATTTTTAAATACATTGAATTATTGAAAACGTACACATTTTTGAATGATTTCAATTTAAGTTTTTTTAGTAGCTAGTAAACTAGTAATTCTACACATTCTCAACTAATATGCTTTAAGCAGTGTATTAGTAGTTAGTTAGTATGCTACACTCTAAGAAAAGTCTGTAAAAATAAGGCACAATCTACTATGTTAATATGAAAGAATTTTCCGTAATGGTGTTTTACCTAAATTTTAAATTACGCTTTGTGTTTTCGGGTTACAATGGATGATGGATAATGGATAATGTCCTGAAAGATTTTCCATTTTTCTTACAGTATACTAACTGATCAACAATCGCAGGTACAAGCTACTAACAAAGTGTATCATAAATGAACAATTATTCAATTATCAAATTATTCAATTATTATTATTAAATTGAACAATTGCAAATAGCAGCTAACTCAATTAACGTGATGTGTGTACTGCTAGGCATCTGTGGTTTCCTCTTTTTGTGTAATTTGGATGGAAAATGTGTGCCTTTTTATTGTCTGAGTCACTTATTAAAAGTTGCTAAAGGTTGCCAAATCGATTTTTAAAATTGCTAAATTTGTTGCTAGGTGCTTTTGGAAGAAAAAGTTGCTAGGGTAGTCTGAAAAGTTGCTAAATTTAGCAACAAAATTGCTAAGTTGGCAACACTGGTGTGTATGAATGCAGACTGTTTATTTTCATGTGACCTGCAGGGGACAGACTACATCCTTTTTAAAAAGTGCATGAGTGAGCGTGCATGTGTGCTTTTATGAAGATATAGGCATATAGGGTTTATATGTTATGTGGTTATTTTTGCATAAAGCATTTTTTTTTTTTTTTTGAGACTTTGTCAGAAGAGATGCGTGACCCATGAGCTGAGTTCCTCTGGTTTAGAGTGTCTGTTCCATCAGCATGTGTTGATAAATGAATCAGCCATGTTTGTATGAGGATGAAAGGCATTAGCTCATATCAGAGCATGTGCAGATCAAACAACTGTCGCTCATAGCTTTCACAGCTCCAGTCTGTTTAACATGAGGGCTCTACAGTGCTGTTTGTGTTTTTGTAGCTAAAGTAGCTCAGAAGAAAAAAAAATGTACAGTATTCCTCAGAAGTGATTCTATGGAGTTCCATTTTGTGGATGCACAAAATATTGCCTCCGTGTGTGTGTGTGTGTTTTAATCTACAATCGGACATTAGGCTAATGGATATTTATCTGCTGATATTGGATATATGTTTCCACTTGTTTTAAGTCATAGATCATCACTAATTTAAAGAGATGTTGATGTATCTTGGCAAAGGTTTAACCCTTTAAGAGCACATATTGGAGTGAGTTGCTGTGTGCATGTAGCAATATACAAATTGGTACGGAATTATATTGTGTGACATTTATCAGTTATTGGTTGTAAAATGAAAATAATTATTGGCTTATTGATGTTATTAAGTGAGATTAAATGGAGCTCAAATGGAGACTCCTACTTCTATTGTCAACAACTGTGTAGTTTGTTTCTATTTTTGTTTCTCCTTGGGAATGTTAAGCCTCTGGTATTCCTCAAAACAGGCTTAAAAATAGGCCAAAACAGGCTAAAAACAATGTTAAAAAATGCACTGATGAATGTATGTTTGTATTCTACAACAATTGTACAATAATATATGTGTCTCATGTATCCATATATATATAGACAATATTCACCTCTCGATTATGCACCATTTATTTCTATATGAAATAATACAAATATTACAAAAAAGTTGTATTAAAATTACTATCAATTAATACAGTGTTTACGTTAAAAGGGTATTTAAAATAACTGTATTCCCTATTTGAGTATTTTCAGACATCATAATTTAATTTTATAATTAGACATGATCTATATATTGTAACAAAAAATGTTGCTATGTATTTTTGTGTTTTTCGTATTTCCCATTAATTTCCTATATGGAACCTTATCACTAACGTTAATTTTTTTTCTTCTTCTTGTTTTTTTTTTGTTGTTGTTTTTTTACTTTTAGCTTTTTCTAATCATGGCCATGATTTTTTTGTGTGTATTTATATAGCAAGTGCATGGCATTTTGTTGAAGTAAAAAAAAAAAATCTGTCTAAAATAACTGAAGACCACCAAAAGGTTAAAAAAATTATTTGCGACAAAGATGA